GGGCGGGCGAAGTACAAAAAAAATATTCGCGTAAGGGAAAATTAAATGAAAAAAAATCATGCACGCCAATTAATCCTAAAAAAAATCTTCATGCTATGGCCTAAAAAAAATTCACACAAGGAATTTGGTAACAAAAAAAAATTCTTAGAACAAAACAGGTAAGATTTTATCTCTTATTTAATTTCCATTTGTAGTTTACAAATAAGAGCGTGGGTTCTCTATGTATTGGTCAATAAGATCATAGGAAAGCTATTGAACGTTGTGAACTGTCAGGTCCACAAAAACATTTAACAAAGGAGTCTGGCGGCCTTCAACAGCATTCCACTCTTTTAACTATGCCATTTCTCACAAGCATCGTGGTGATAATTTCATAAAAACCAGTACATTCGTGAGTACTTAACCTTCACCAGAATGAAATTTCATAACGGTACGTGAAAAAAAGCGCGCATTTTCAGAATCGTAAAGATAAGCTTAATGATTCTTATTTCAGTTAAGATTTGCAACGAGGGGAAAGATATAAATTCACTTTTAACCATACCTGCCACGGCCAAGCTCCTGGCTGAGCATTCTGGCCTCCAATGACACGTGATTGAACAATGGGGGTACTGCCACAAGGCAATGCCTGAGCTGAAGTAAAATAATATTCAAGAAATTACTTACTAGTAATTAAGCCGCAAGAACGTTTGGTTAAAAGAGCTGTGTCACGAAAGTCATCAAAATTCAAACAGTGGAAACTGCAACCAAACTGTGATAAACATAAAAATAACCGTTCAAAACAATAAAGGAGGGTATATAGCCAATGACAAATACAAATACAAAAGGAGGTATGGATGGGCACTCTATAGAAAACAATACCAATTAACTGCACTGAAGCACACGTACCAAATTCGCGATATGACCATCCCGCGAAGTTGGTACGTGTACTTCAGTGCAGTTAATTGGTATTGTTTTACTCTATAGAAGAAGGTTAAAACGGATTGCAGGCTGCGGGTTTTGAAAACTTGTTAGCCTAACAGTTTTGATCAAAGTTTATTTTTGACCTCTGTAATGTTTGATACTAATAATACTTTGAGAGGAAATATCTTTGACATGAAGCTATGATTTGTAATTTACCAATTATTCGTCAATAATAATGATCCTTTGCGAAATAGGACGTGTATTCAATTCAGCACTAAACGACATTTTATTATCATCAGAAGCCGGGTTGAAAACATGCTAATCTTCGCTATGGAATAATGAGCTTTTCAACTTTGACAATATAATGAAAAAAGAAAAGAAAAACGACAGAAACAAGCTAACGTGAAAAAATTGAAATAGTAAAACAGACAATTTCTTGATATATATTTTTAGTTATTGCATTTTGAAAATTAAAAAAAAGTGCTCTTACCTCTCACGATACTGGCCCCAGAAAGTAGCAATACCAGCAGTATCATCTCGATCAGTATCGAAAATGAATGCGAAATTGTCTGAGAAAAACACTTTCTTATATGCTCTAAAATCCAAAAAATTTAACCGGCCCATTAACAAATCAAATACGACTATTTAAAATACAGAATCAGGAATAGATGTTCCTGACGTTATATTTGTTAATTAATTGATGCATTAAGGGTGAGAGAATTAAGTTTTATTTACTGATTGATGCATTGAAGCTGGATACTCAGAACAATGCGACGTTTAAGTCCGTAGATCAACAT